TGGAAGAAGCGGACGACCCGTTGGCGGACAACCCTTCGGCCGACAAAAAAATTTGCGTTTAATATGAATGAAAGCTTTTCTCATTTGTTTGAACACAAATGTGATAACAATTTAAAGCCATTTGAAAGAATAGCAAAATGTGTTCAAACCATTCAATATTCACTATAATTACTCGAAATCATTGTTTAAAATCATATATCAATAAATTATTTTGTAATTCAAACGATATATCGATTGAATTTGATATAAAAAATAAAACTTAATTCAAAACTAAATCAAAATTCAATTATTTGTAATAATGAGTGAATGCGAGCCGTAATTGATGTGAGAGTCCATTGAATGAGTGATTCATGATTTCTGTGCAAAAGTTTTGTCTTTAAATTGATTTTAATCTACAATTTAAGTCTTGTTTGATATCTTGGGATCAATTGGTGGCGATATGTCTGAAGTGAGGGATTGGTTCAACCGATTGCCGCAATTCACGCGGTATTGGTTCGGCCTATCGGTGGCGCTTCCCATCGCCGGTCGCATCGGTCTCGTGAGTCCATATCAGATGATTTTGACCACAGATTTCATCTACAAATTTCACGTAAGTATCACCGCATCTGAAGACCACAGATGAAACACATGACTAACCCATTGACTCGTTGTCATTGTCTTCTTCCACAGTTATGGAGACCATTGACGGCCCTATTCTTCTATCCGATGAAATTTCATTTCCTTATAAACCTGTACTTCTTGTACAGCTATTCACTCCGATTAGAGACAGGTTTGCGTCCATTCAATGGTCTCATGTGTTGACCACATTATCATTACATTTCAGAGCATTTCATTGGACGTCCGGCCGACTACTTGTTTCTTCTCATATTTAATTGGATCTCAATTGTGGTAAGTGTTTGTCTGATCCACTCGTGTCCCCAATGATGAGCCGATGATGACGTGAAACTGTATTTTGAAGTTAATAGCACTGCCTCTAAATGTGATGCTTTTGATGGATCCGATGGTTTTGAGTGTTCTCTACATTTGGTGTAATCTAAACAAAGAAGTAATCGTCAACTTCTGGT